AAAGTCTCTCTGGCATCCAGTGGAGCAGCAGCACTTAGTTCCCAGTTTTTATATAGCTCCCCTTTTGAATATATTCCTCGAAAGGGATGGGGATTTTTTGGCAATGGTTTGTTTTCTCAAACTTGTGGTTGTTTTTCCTTCCAAAGCACAGCGTAAGTGATCCAGACCTTGTCACTCATTGCACAGAATCATAGAACCAGTAAGGTTGGAAAAGACCTCTAAGATCAATGAGTCCAACAGTTAACCCAGCACTGCTGTGTTCACCACTAAATCATATCCCCAGGTGCCACATCCACACATTTTTTTGAACACTTTCAGGGATGGTGACCCCACCACTTCCCTGGGAAGCCTGTTTCAATGCCTGACCATCTTTTCAGTGAAGACTTATTCCCTAATATCTAATCTAAACCTCCTCTGACACAACTTAATGACATTTCTTCTTGTCCTATTTCTTGTAACCTGGGAGAAGAGACCAACCCCACCTTGTTACCACCTCCTTTCACCTCCCTGCTCTCTTTCTGGTCTCTGTTCATATATTTGATCTGCTTGGATTTATCACACAAGGGAAATCTCTAATTTTAATCATCACTGGGAAAACTCACCTCTGCTCCTCATGCAGTTTGAACTGCAGATTGTTCCTCCATGGCTTCAGAGACCCATCACTGACACCACTCTCCTGGTTCAGCTGAAAGACCATCAGTCAGGTGTGGCCCCACCGACAGCAACATGATTTTGCACAGAGCTTCCCTAAAATAACAGCAGTGTTTAACACAGTGCCTCACTTTTATCTTCCTCCAGCACAATAACTCCACTCCCTCAAGGCAGTAACCAAAACCACACAGGAAGGGGTTCTCCCTGGGGAAACTGCATTAAGAAGTGATCTCTGGAAAGCCCCTCCAAGCCCACCGAGCTTAAGCAGCTGAGTTTGAGACAGGAGGGTTTAGTTCTTTCCATGGGGCTTTGGGCATGACTAAAGCAACTTTTGCTCAGATTTCCTGAAGGCAGCACACTTCCCATCGGGCTGGGGGAGCTGAAGGATGAGCAAAGCTACGTTACAAACCTCTGGACAAGCAACTGATGGAGACAAACAGCAGCTGGAGCAGGCAACAACAAGGAGGTAACAACTAACCTCAGCCTGGTCTGGTGGAAGGTGTCCTTGCCCATGGTAGGGGGTTGGAAATAAATGGTGTTTAAGGTGCCTTCTAAGTCAAACCATTTGGTGATTCTCTGATACCACTTTTTGGCCATTGCCACCCAGTGCCTTGGGCTGACCTGAGATGAGGGAGGCTTCTCCTGTGACTGTTTTTCCCAGCAAAAAGGCATCTGATGTTATTTTTCCCAATTTTTCATGTCTTCCAACAGAGGCAGTTAGTGTTTGATGGAGTGCTTTGAAGCTGCTGCCTTGGTTGTAGATCTGAAGGCAGCTCCAGTACCTGACAGCTTGTGCTTCCCATCCTCCCTCCTCCCTTAGCCTGACACAGTCATTCTCCCCTCCTACCCTGCACTGTGCAATTTTAAATAGAGCATCAGGATAAACTCTGAACAGACATTTAGGAAAGCAGGACTGTGCCTTCACACAGTCTGCAGTCTTGGATTGGGACCATTCAGAGTTCAGCATCTCTCTCTATTTCTTCTCGTTGAAGAAGTTACCTGCAAGTTAAAATTGAATGTTCAGAGGCCAAACAGAGCTTGCTGAGACTGCAGCAGCCTTGGTTTTCCCATATCTGTGTTTCTTTCACTACAGCAGTGCAGCTTTTTCATAACAGCCCTTAGACCAGCCCTTGAGGCTGTTTCTTGATGAAAGGAGTAAGGCTAGAGTTGGTACTAATATAAGGAAAACAAAAAAAGGAAAATAATAATCAGAGCTTTTCTGAACTTTGAAATTACTACTAAAATATTTAATTTTTAATTTTTTAATTTTAATTTTTTAATTTTTTATTTGTTCCAGAGCTGTCATAGAACAGGAGAGGGGAGCAGACATTTCATAGAAATTGACAACTTCATGATCTGTTTTGATAAAATATGGGCATTGAGAAAAGCAACTCGGAGCACTTTCACCCATCTCTAACTGTTGTTGTTACAGAAGAACCAGCTCTCCAGAGCGTGGAGAGGTGGGAGGTCACAGCACAGAAAACCCTGCTCCATGCCACACCTTTCCTGGCAGGGTTTTCTCAGCAGGGCCATGGCAGGGGGGATCTGTTAGAATCCTAAAATGGTTTGGGTTGGAAGGGAACTTAAAGATCATCCAGTTCCACCCCCTGCCCAGGGGACACCTTCACTAGCCCAGGTTGCTCCAAGCCCTGTTCAACCTGGCCTTGGACACTTCCAGGGATGGGGCATCTACAGCTTCTCTGGGTAACCTGTGCCAGGGCCTCACCACCCTCATATTGAAAAATTTCTTCCTAATATCTGATCTAACCCTGCCTTCTGTCACTGTAAAGCCATTCCCCTTGTACTATCACTCCAAGCCCTCGTCCAAAGTCCCTCTCCTGCTCTCTTGGAGCCCCTTTAGGCACTGGAAGGGGCTCTGAGGTCTCCCTGGAGCCTTCTCTTCTCCAGGCTGAACATCTCTCCCAGCCTGTCTGCAGAGCAGAGGTGCTCCAGCCCTTGGAGCATCTTCATGGCCACCTCTGGACTCGCTCCAGCAGCTCCACGTCCTTGTGCTGGGGTCCCAGAGCTGGACACAGCACTGCAGGTGGGATCTGACAAGGGCAGAGGGGAGAATCCCCTCCCTCGACCTGCTGGTCACAGTTCTTGTGATGCAGCCCAGGGTGTGCTCGTCTTGCTGGAGGATGAGCTGCTGCTCTCTTTATTTGCAGAGGTTCATAATGATCCAATTTCTGCTTCACTGGTTCTCAGGAGGTATCTGCTCTAAAACAGAAAAAGATAATAGGGAAAAGTTCCCCCTATTATGACTAATTAATCACTCTGCTTCAACACTTGTAACTCCAGGATGGAGCTGATACCTATTTTGGTGGTGAGATCCCTAAAAATGGGTGACAGCACACAAACCCAGTGCCTGTGAGATCCAGCCTGTCAGCAAGCACATCAAATTCATTATTTTAAAAAAAACCATCACAACAAAGTGTCACAGCTGACAACCTGGTTACCAAGAAGTTAAAAGAAGAACTTGATTTTCTGTAAAGTTGAAATTTAGAAAATCTGAAGGAGCCAGAAAATCTGGTTCCCTTTGCTGCCTGTAGCTGACTCATTGCAGGCAGATAAAAAGCATTTATCCCCCTGCTCCCAGAGATTTTCAGGAGAGCCAGAGTGATGTGGAATCAAATGAGGCGAGGCTGCAGCCCTCAGAGAAGATATAAGAACAAGTATTATTTGTGGAATTGTTTTACCCCTTGGACAATGGGGTATAGATAATTTCTTTCCTTTTCATCAGAGTGAAGGTGAGAAGTGCCTGTGCTCCAACAGCATCCAGGAAAATTAAAGGATTCAGGGAGAAACAGGATCTTGGAGAGATCAGAGCCACATTTAACATCAAGCCATTAACTGGAGTCTTCAACTGGAGCCTGACCTATTCTCTGACACACAGTGTATCACTGTAAAGGTTGGGAGATGCCTGTCAAGGAATTTTTTCTCCTTTTAATTTAAGTTCTCCCTATTGGCTGGGTTACATTAATCAAGTTACACCTTCATTCTGCATCTCATGGGGAACAGGTATTTGCAGATGATCTGATTTTTGCAGCAGAGAATGTCTTTGTTTTGCTAACAGAGACGCAGGTGTTACTTGCAGCAGCATCCCCTCAGCTCCAGCACCCCCAGGGCCCTGTGACAGGCAAAGCTGTCACCTAGAAAAGGCAGGAATTGGGCCCAGGCAGGGATCTCAGCCTGGGATTTAGCTTTCAAGGCAGCCCCTCCTGCATGAATTAACCTTCAGGTTAAACACAAGCCGTTCACCCTGCAGTGCATCATGTTCCCTGGTGCAGCCAGACAGGGTTTGCCTCTCCCATACACATCTGGAAATACCCATCAGCATCTCTTGGCCCCATGTTGTGTCACTGGAAAACACTCATCTTCCCTTCTAGTCACACTGCTTTGCTAATCAGATGGAAAATGCATAAAATAAAAATGGCAATACGTGCAAAGTAAAACTATTCTGAGTGAGAAGAGTGGTTTTGCTCCCCACAACTAATGAGGAGCAGGATTGCAAGGGGTTTAGTGTGACCTCTAATCCAGATGTTTTGCACTTGGAGGAGTAAAACAATCAACACGCAGGGAAATCTGTTCATTCCTCTAAAAGAAGGGGCAAAAGAGGGGAGAACATCTGAGGCACAAGGAAATAGCCTGTCCAAGGCTGGATGACTCTGCAGAGCCCTCCTCCTTTACCAGGACAGCTGGTCACCTCATTCCAAGCCAGGAGGTGGAAAAAGATACATGGGAATTATAGAATCAAAGAACAGCCCAGGTTGGAAGAGATCTTGAAAGGTCACCTGGTCCAACCTGTCACGGGAAAGGAGCTGGATGAGGTTATCCATCACCCTGTCCAGTTGCATCTTGAGATCCTCCAGTGATGGGGACTCCACCACATCCCTGGGGAAGTTGTTTCCGTGACTGACTGTTCTCACTGTAAAAAATTTGTCTTATGCCAAATCAAAACCTCTTCTGGTGCTACTTGTACCTGTTCCCTGTTGTTCTCCACATGACTCCGTGTGAAGAGGGAGCCTCTGGACTCTGCAGCTGTGATGAGGTCCTGCCTGAGCCTTCTCTTCCCAGGAAAAAGGGACCTGACTCCTTCAGTCTTTCCTCACAGGGCAGGTGCCTCCAGTGAGAGGGAGCAGAAGGCCAAGGGGATTGGCAGCAAAGGGAGGTGGCGGGTTGGAAAAACACTTCCCTTCAGAAAACAAAAACATGTTGGGCAAGTGAAAACAGACAATGTCCTCACTAACAGGGAGGAGCAGCCCTGCAGGTGTGGTCCATTCTCTGGTGGATGCAGCCCTTCTGGTCCAGCCTTGACCCTCCCCTCACCCCCGTGCTCTGGCCCAGGTCTCACAGGGCTCAGCACACACGGCAGGGAAGCGGAATTGGCACAGGGAGAGGTGCCTTGTTACACACCTGCCAGCCTGGCACCACACTGCTTTCTTCCTTCTCTTCCTCCCCCGCCTGGAGACTCAACATTTGTCCACAGTCCTCCTGATGTACTTCAGCCAAATCCCAGTTTAAAACGATGTTGCTTTAGAAAGAGAAGAAAAGGTGAGCAGCAGAGCTTTTGGAGGAAAACAAGGTTTACCACACTAGGGAAGGCATAAGGACGTAATTTAGAACTCAACTATTTGAGAAATGCTGATTTTCCTCTTTATTTTTCATGTGCTGATCACATGTTTCTGCATTTTCGTGGAAAAATAATCAAGAGACTAAAATTATCACGAATACTTACCTGTATTCAGGCGAGGGGCCACAGGTTCCTTTTGCAAAGGAAACTCAGCCTTCATTGGGCAAATGAAGAAATTGCCTCTGAAAGATTTTTACCTGAAGGAAGATGTTTTCCGTGGACCCGTGGAGTGCAACCCTGGCAGGGGATTCAGATATTCGAAGTTGTGGTGATGCTTTTACTCGAGATAATGCCTTTTAAAAATCCTCTACGGTGCCTTTAAAAGCCAGCGCTGCACAGCTGCACCATCTCGTGGTGTGACAGAGCCCTGCATGGCCCGAGCCTTTAAAACCCTCATCTTCCCAAAACTTGGATCATGGATGCATGAAAGCCAAGTGCACCCACTGCCAGACCATGCCACGGCTTAGCCCAGCACAGTTCAGAGCCACAAAGCCCCCTCCAGACCTCCCCCAGCTCCTGTCCTTCCTGCCTGTTCATCCCTCTCCCCAAGGTGCAACAGTACAACCACTTTCCAACCACAGCCATCATCATTACAAATATCTGGCTGACCCCTCCAGTTATTATTTCAAGATCTATCCAGCAGATGAGAGATCAGGCCAGTGGGTGATTGTTCATCTGAACCTGCTCTACCTGACTTACTAAGATGTGTTACAGATGATTCCAATGAAATCAAGGCTCTGCTCACTATTTAGAGAAAATATTAAAAGGAATATTAAGGGTCACAGAGCTACAGCCCCGTGATGCAAAGCCAAGGGCAAGACCTGTATGTGCTCTGTCTCAGCCCTACTCCTACACAGCACCTGGCCCAAGTCAGCAAGTCCCTTCCAACCTAAATGATTCTATAATTCTGTAATTAAACAGGCTCAGGTCTTGACAAAAAGCTTCCTCTCTTCTAAATGCATTTCCTTGTGAAAGAACAAAATGGCCCAAGACATCAGACTTTGTGCCTGAGCATTTCAGATGCATAAAAAACCCCACAGTGGTTCTCGACCTCTGAGGGTACAGCATGAAGTAAGCAGGAGATTAGGCAATGACTAGGAAAAAATCCTAAAGGCATTTTTATAGAATGATTATCCTGTTAAAAACACACATGAAAACGTCAGACTTTTGTATTTCTGTGGGTTTGTCTTCCAGTAAATGCTTAACTTAAACCCAGCTTCTTCAGCATGCCCCTTCCATGCAGACCTAACTCGGGGACATGTGCCAGATGAAAAGCTGCTTCACAGGAGCACCTTGAACCAACCCAACTCAGGCACAAGGCGGCTCCCCCAGTTCCTCCCAATCCCTTAGGGGATCAATGTTGTTTGCCCACAGACTGGCTGACCCAAAACCAGTGTCAGGTCACCAGCTCACCACCACCACGGATGGATCAGCACTTACAACAGGCACTGCCAAAGTTATGGAGGCAGATGCCACTGCAGCCTGGAAGGAAGGCAGGGATGTGCCTCCTGATCCGCTCTCAGGCCCTATTTATCCCCACAAACCCAGGACAGGCAGGTAAGGAACCAACCCACTGCTTCAGGGGTGCTGTGAGCACCACAAGAGGGGGGCTGCACACAGGAACTGACAGGGGGTTGTACAGGAAACCCCACCAGTCCCCAACAGTTTTCTCCCACTTCCTTATCCCCTCCCAGAATCCAGGATCTCGCTCCTTTCTCAGCTCCCACTTATGTACAGGCTTTAGCGGCTTTGGAAGCAGCAAGATGGCTTTATTCAAACCTCAGCAGGTTAACCAAGAAGAACAGGAACTGAACCCACCTGCCAAATATGCTGCTAGAGGAAAGAGCCCTTGATGCTCAGCAGTCAGGGCTTTCATCTTTATTAAAGCCCAGGAAGTCCAAAGAGTTGTGAGAGGAATGGAATGAGGAGAACTCTCTGGCCTGATTCTCTGAAGCCTTTGCTTCCCCCTCCCAGTATTTCCCCCATGGAGAATGGCATGTGGGCACAGAGGGGGATTCCTGGGAGCAGCCCTGAACTATGTGCATTATCAGACATGAAGAGGATGAAAAAAATAACACAGATAGTTTATTGTCAAACTGAATCAAAGCGTGGAAAAAAAAATAAAATCACAAGGTTACACTGTAAAGAAATTTGGTTTTCATCACAAAAGCTCATTAAAATCGGACAAAAGAAAACAACCCATTGTCAAGCCAGCAACTCCTCTGAGCCTTGGAGTGCAACATTTATTGAAACGCCGGGAATTCTGAGGCGGTGACATCGCGTTTGTAGGGACAAAACGATCAACCCTCATTATCTGGGAGAACAGAGGTTCTGTGAGGGGGTGACGTGTTTCTGGCTGAGCGGTGACTCCTCCGTTCGCCTTTGAGCAGCAGCAGCCTTGTCCTTGCTGGAGTCCAGCCCGAGACGATGGCCAAGGCTGGTGGGTGCCAGCTGCGCTGCCTTTCTTTGTCCAGCATTTTCCTGCAGTTTCCATCCTGATCAAGTGTGTTTACATCCCTCAATCAAAGGGCTGTTCCAAAATTAAAGGCTGTCGGGTGCGCAGAGAAGAGCGGTGGGAGCTACGACGGGTCCACCGAGGCCCGGGGGACACGGACACGGCCAGCGCCTCCCAAACCCAGTTTGCTGCTGATCCAAGCAATGACCAAACCCTTCTAATTGCTTTTGAATCTGGGAAAAGTGTGTAACTGCCGATGCAGAGACCTGCCCTACGGAGTCAAACCCATCTGTGTGTGTCCTGTGTTTCAGAAATGCCCGTTAAGTGGTATCGAGCAATTACGGAGAACCCGGCTCCTCAGCACAGCTCCTTCCCAACAAAACACTCCTGGAAGCTTCCCAAGTTTGAGTCTGCCAACCTGTCCAAACCAATATATTACCTACAGATCATTTATTCACCAGTAGCTCCAGTGGAACCAGAGGAGTCCAGGAGAGCTTTGCCTGGTCTCCTGCCAGCGTAGCTGGGCTGAGGGGAAGTCTGGATGGCGAGGGTCGCTTGCCAGGAAAACTGCTGGAGACTGCAGGATCCCCTGGAGTGCAGCCCACCTGGAAGAGGCCCTATCCCATCCTGCAGGGGATTTCAGAGTGGTTGGCTTTCCTTCTGAGTCAAAAACACAATGAAATGGGGGAAAAAACATGGGAAGGTGTTTAAGTACGTAGATTAGGGTGTGCTCGGTTTTAATCAGTCAGGACAGAACAACAAGGATCTTTCTCACTGCTATAAATGAGCTGTTTTATGAATTTTGAGACACTTGTTTTACTGAGTGAAAAAAAAAGAAAGGCATCTTTATCCTAAGTAGCAGCTAAGGAGACTGGTAAAACTAAAAAAAAAATCCCCTAAATAACCCCCCCCCCCCAAACAAACCTAAAAAAAATTTTTTAAAAATCAACTCCCTGACTCACCAGTACAAAGTAAAGGCAGTCTAGGCATTCCAACTGATCACAGGACTAACTAAAAAATATTTTTAATTGCAACTAGTGTGCTATCTTGAGCCAGCTGCTTATTCCAACAGGCCTGAGGTTTTCTGCTCATAAAGCATCAATAATATGGGCCTTTTCCTAGAAAGGAAGGCTCTGCCTAAGTCTTATTGTGTCAGATAAAAAGTCCCAAAATAGATTTTCCAACCAAATAAAGTGTTTTATTCAGATATTCATGTGGATATGGCACTGATGTTAAGAACAGCTATTCAAGTAGCTGAAGTAAGCCCTTCAAAAGAAGTCACACAGCTTTGAGACTTGAACAAATTATTGTATGATCTCATCCAAGAGATCTAAATAGCTGGAACATCTGCAGGAGTCGCCACCAATTTATTTAGCAGAGTTCAACAGTAGTTCATCAGCTCTGTTTGCACAAGCAGGTGCCAGGGCAGGCACTGAGGAGTCCTGCACACGACTTAAAAAGAGGAGAGGGGGAAGAGGGTTGGACATAGATGGATGATTTTATGATTTAACATGGATGTGCATTAGCAGGAATAATGTCCCTGACAAATTAGGGCAGTGCCTTTTACTGAAGAAGTGCAGAATTTCTTTTTCCCAGAGAAGTATTACATGCACAAGTAACTATATTGTTAAAATTTTTTATTTGTGACAGTAAAGAAACCATTCAATACCTGATTGACAACACTTCTCTCTCCTGCAAACACTCATATGGTATCTGTAGTGTTTCTCAAGTATTGCTGGATTGTTCATTGCATCAAAGTGTAAACAGCTCCATCATAAGAAAAAAAAAAAAAAAAGAAGGAAAAAAAGAAAGAAAGAAACATTTCCATTGCTTACTCCTCTGTTAAGGAGTTCCCAATAGACCTTTAACAAGAAATAAAAGAGAGTCAGCTGGGATTTTACAATACCATGTGAAACAGAAAACTGACAGCTGGTTTTGCATAGTTACCCAGAGATTCTGAAGCAATTGCCCCACGCCAGTCTCACCTGCCCCCTCCTCGCCCCACAAAGGCAAAACATCATCACAGCACCTTGGAAATCAGAGGCACAAACTTGTTTCCGTTTTACAAATAGGGCTGTGCGGTACTGTGGTTTATTAGGTTAAAAACAACCTGTAAAACAGAGGATTTACGTCTCCAGAACTTATATAACTACCTTTTTTTTTTTTTTTGATACACTGAAATTTCAAAAGCTGCAACATCAGCACACACCAGTGTCATTTAGATACTTTATTGTCCCCAACCAGTCTAATCAAAATCATGCTGTAAGAAAGTGATTTGCGTACACTGACAACCAAATGTCTCCAGGTGTTGAGCTTCCTCCATGTAGAACTTCGCTGTTTAATAAAGATCAAAAAGGGCAAAACAAAGAGACAGATTACTCTTCCAAAGCTACCTAAATGAACACAGCAATATTGTACATTTTGCTACCATCTCCCATTCCAAGCCTGCCACGCTTCCTGGCGGTTGTTAACAAGGACTCTGTGCACAGCCCTAGTTTACAAATGGCAATTTAATCGTTAACACCTCAGCTGAATTTAAAGAATCTAAGGCAATTCTGCCTTACAGCTTAATTCAAAAATACCTATACAGGCAAAAAACCGTTTTTAACCCGACATAAAAAGGACAACAGAACTTCAGGCCAGGCAGCATCTCTTTAGCTGAACAAGGATGACCAACTGGAAAAGACTTTTTAATAACTTCTATAATATCCAGAAATAATAAAATTGAAACCCAGGGTTTATAACAGCCCTGGTGACCTGCATGCACTAACTGCACTTCAAAATATGCAAGAGATTTAGGAAACAAGTATTTTTTTTTTTTTCCTATTTTAGTTTTTAAACTCTTGTATTTAAAATACAATCAAATACCCGTATTGCAAATTTTACAGACATTCCATTATCTGACTTGTATGGACAGAACTATATTGCTTTGTTACAATCTAGAAACTAAATATAGAGCGTATGTATATCCACGCAAACTCAACACTTGAAATTTCAAGTACGATGATAAGTGTCAAAATAACCATCTAGGACAGTTTGATCCCTCTGGTCAAATCTGAATACACAGGGGAGTCCAAACCTGATTGCAGAGCACTCCAAGCGGGTTAAAAAATAAAAAAATTACTAAATTACTCAAAACTTAGAGAAAATAATATTAAGGGATCAAAGCTGTGGCTAAGTTTTTTGCCTTTGTCACAAAATGTTATTTTAATGCTTTACTAAAACTAACTTATTAAAATAAGTTGGTATTTTTATTTTTTTTTTAAATTTGTGGATTTTAAGAGCCAAAATAATAACGGTGTTAAGTAGGGTTTGTACAGAACATCATCAGAACCCTTCCTGCAGAAGCTGGTGCAGAAGTTCAGTTGCCCGTTCTATGTGGATTTTAGAACAATACAAGACACTTTTAATAATAGTCAACATTCATTCACAGACTTAAGGCAACTGGTTCATGAAATCGCTGCTTTCAGAGATGCAAACGGATGACATGGTTTGTCTCACGTACAACAGGTCACCACGGTGGGTTATTTATTTGTCTGTTTGGTCTAACGCTTTGCGAGAAAGTCTTTGAGTTTTCTTCTTTTTTTTTTTTTTTCAGCCATTCCTCTCATACCTGCACGACTAACTACAACCTGAATACTTCCCTGCAAACTGCATTTGAAGCCCAGAAGCTGCAAAACGCAGTTGAAAAAATACTGCTCAGAGAACAACTTTTCTTTCTTTTTTTCTTTTTTTTTTTTTGGCAGCTTACGGTTACTCTGAAGTCAAATACAAAATTAAACAATCTTAAACCAAAAGGGAACGTTAATGGACTAACCAGAATCCATACGTCTCTCTTTTATTTTTTCCCCTCTGTTTTTTTTTTTTTTTTTTTAAACAAAGTAGGCTTTTTTTTTTTTTTTTTTTAAATTTTACGTTTGACGGTTTTGTCTTTTGTTGTGGCACAGAATTGTACAGTACTAAGGTAATGCCAGCTGGTAAGAAACAAAACGGTGATGCCATTACAGACTCACACAGAGTGTGACGGGACTGCCTCCAACACCCCTGGGTGCAGCCACAGCTGGAGCACAGCTGCTCACTTTTATACTGTACCTACAACCTACTCACTGCCTGCCCTTCTATGAACGTTGTTAAGCTGCTTCACCAATGATTTTAGACGAGGATCACAAGCCAAGTCCATCGCAAAAAAAAGTTGGTTTTTGTCCTTTTTTTTTTTTTTTTCCCCCCTCAAGTCTTCAAGACTTTGCGAGAGAAACAGAAAAGGCAAAGGGGATCTGCAATTCAGAATTTAGCACGAGGCTAATTAGAAGCACCGAATAGTCCATTTAGTCTTCTCTGGTGACAGCCAAACACAGCTGCACTTTTTCTGTGTTTGCAGATTTCTGGGGTGGAGGATAATTAAAAGGTGACACTGGAAAGGGGGAGAAAAAGTAAGAAAGAAAAGGTGTGCCCTTTCTTCAAAGGCTTAAAATGTTTAAAAGTTATTCAACTGAAAAAGCACCTCTGACACTGCAGAAGATGCTAAGCAGGTTCTCAGACTCAGAGATGAGTCTAACTCAACTCCAAAGCCAGAGGAGCCATTTTAGTCTAGGCTAGTAACTTGTGCCCTTCTAGCAAAGCTCGATACAGCTCCCAGTCTGTATCTTACAGCTTGGGGGAAAAAGAAATACAAATCAGAGATGCGAGCAAAATGCTTTTTTGCATTTTTATATACCAACGAAAGGAGAGGGCTTCACCCCAATTGAAAAAAAACAGTGATTAAAAAAAAATACCCTTTACAGGTCACCTTTAACTGAGTTCTCTGGTATTTCAGATACCATTGGATTAATCCATGGGGGTGGGTTATGAAGCCTGCATTTTATTTATTGCCCAAGTTTGCAGCTTACAGAAAATGTTTCATAGCACAGGCACAGTGGCAAAAACAGTATAACAGCCGATGGTCAACTCCATTTGGTGAGTATACAGTAGCAGCAATTAAAAGAAAAAAGTACTCCAAACAGCTCAACACAGATCCAGCTTACCCAGACGGGCTGTTTTAAGAAAAGAATCTTAAACTAATAAATAGATCTCCTCCTCCCCGTTCTCCCAAGATAATGGTTTTCCGAAAATCGAGAGGCATGGCAGTTGTGCGTAAGCAGAGACAACAGAATTTCATCTGTCTACAAGAGAAGGTGCTTCAGGTCTCTCAGCCACCTTGTTTTCTCAATTCCATCATTCCCTGACACTCAGAACAACTGCAGATATGTTCCAAACTGTGCCCAAAAATCATCATCGGTGAAACAACCGTGTAATGAACCCAATTCACCCCTCCCACGAAACGCCCGAACCTTCCGAGCGTGACAAAGTGTAATGCAACTTAATGTCACTGTGGAGACAGGAACCCAGCATCTTGGTTTCAACTTTTTCCTTTGTTATATATTACAGTGCTCTATAAAATTTTTTTCCTTTTTCCTTTTAAAGCATTTAGACAATACAAGACTAAAAGATGTCTGGAAATACGTCTTATACAAAAATGAATTTTTTTTTATCTTAAAATAACATTCAAAAAGGCACTTCATTCTGTAAGAAAAAATTCAGAGTCAGGTCAACTGCTCTAAGCAGGGGGGTAAAATTGTCTGCATAGTGGGAGGGGAAGAAAGGGAGAGAAATTCAACTGCTGAAATACAAGCTTCTTTTTTTTTTGGCATGTTTTAAGAAAAGCTGATCCAGTAAAAGATGTCCATTTATGAAATTAATTAAAAGAGTCCCACTTAAAATAGCTTCTTTTTTTTTTTTTTCCTTTAAAAAAGTAGTCTGAACACATGACCTTAGGAGTCAGGCTTCTGAAGGCTTAAGAGCATCACTCATGATTGTCCTTCGTGTCCAATGTAACAGGAAGATCAAGAGTAGCACTTCTGACAGGGGTGACCTCCCCAAAGCTTACATTTGAAAGAGCTGAAAAAGATGGAGACAGCCTCTAGCAACTGCAATCTAGTAGCAGAAGTCAGTCAAAGTTAAGGGCTACCTGTTGCAGAGTTTATGAAGCATACTGTAAACTTCTTCCTCTTTGCTTAGTCCTTCAAAGAAAGGAATAAGATCTAGCAGCTCTGTGTCTGTCATGTCATCAAACCAGGACTGCACAGGCACCTGAAACAAAGCAACCAACAAAACACTGAGAGGGTTTCATGATGTGAAGGACACGTGAGTTTTGCCTGTGTGGGTGTCCTGCAACACTCATCATCGCAGTAAGGCAAATTGCTAATCATTAGCATTCAGGTGGAGCACCAGGTTCAAGCCCATGTTTTCTAGCACCCAACCCCAACCCCAAAGCCAGCTGCAGGACAGCTGACCTTCACCTGCATGTCCAGGTCACCTACGTGACCCCACGCTGGGCAGCTCGACTCATTCTGCCTCCTTAACATTCCAGAACAGACTGGAAGGAAGACACAGGTTATAAAGCTGCACTGACAGTTTATTTACAGGCAAGTCTTTTTTTTTTTTTTTTCCCCCTCTAAGAATTATCAGTGTGAGTCACCAGACAGAGGAATGCAGCAACAACCCCTTCTGGCAAGGGGTTTGGAGGAAATATTTAACAGCGAGTACAGAACAGAGCTCAGATTAAAATACTAGACCTCGAGAACAGGTTCAGAAAATAATGCATGTAATAACCCTCCTTAAATATGTGGGCTGGATGTGTATCTTCAGTATGGAAGTGCACTGAGGTCTTTTAAAGACTATCTTGGATCTTGTTACAAGCTCTGGTTTCTGCAGAGACTCGAGTATCAGTTCGCTAGCAGCACTTTTCTATACATGATTAAACCACTCTGACAAGGCCCTTAACTTCCATCTCCCAAATTTCTACAGCTCATTATTTTCTTGGCACTGATTTCTGAGATACCAAACGATGATCTGGATCAGGTTTTTGATTTTAATCATGAACCTAAATTTAGAGCTTCAGCTCCTGGTTATCATAAATGGCAACTTTAAACCACGTGTGGCACCAACTAGAGAAATGTTTTCACCACATCACTTGAGGCATCACAGTTTTAGGATCTGAACTTAAAAGCTGCCTGCTGCAACATAAACAGCTCATGTTAAAAAAAAATAAAAATGCTATTCCAGAGAGGCAGAACCATGGAAAACAGTGGTCCTGATAAAAATTTTCCTACACTGATTTTAAGAGTTCACAAAGACGACAGGCTAAAAACATCAAAGAAGGCACTGCACAGCCTGGCTGTTTAAAAGTCAGTAGATGTAAGGGAGTTCCAGCTTCTATCCTGGCAGCTACAAAGCAGCTGTGAGCATCTGTACTGACTGCAGCAATGGAGGGAGCAAGTGCCAGACCATTCCATCCCAGCTCCTGGAGCCACCAAACACACAGTGACAATGCACAGTGCTCCTAATTACTCTCCCCTGAAGTACTACTGCTGCCTGTCTTTTATCCTTGTTCCTAAAACCTGATGAATTTGTTGGCTAACATTTCTAATTATGAAGGGAGTTATCACAAAAACACTTGAAGGAGAAGCATAACACCACAACGGGATCTTGATTTTTTTTTTCTTTCCCTTACCCACAAACACAGATTTCAGATAGCAACCAGTAAAGCATCCATTCTCTTGCCTAATAAAATATTTTCATTCCCACGACGAAAAAAGATGGGAGTACAAGAAGTTGTTCAAGCAAACCATTCTGTCTGCAATCACCACTGCAAAGAACAAAAGCTGTGCTGCAGGGCAGCTTTGGTTTTTAGAGGTATGTTGGTTCCTCAGGTTCCACACCACCTGGTATTTCTCAGAACTGTTGGACTTCATGCCACAAGCTACAGCTGAAAGCACATGAGCAGCCATGGCTATGACACGCTGTCAAGATCAGTTTGCCCATGTCCTTCACCACTTGGCAGTGAATCCCAGAAGCTACCTGCAGCCTAAGAAAACACGGAAACTAATACAAGACAGGGCTCTGAAAGGTTATTTTCTGAATCAGAAGGTCTGGGCAAGGAACAGAAAGATGAAGGCACGCTTGAGTACTTCGAATACTTACTGCATTTTCAGGATGGAAGATGTAAGATGCAGGAGAATTATCTACTATAATAACTTTACTCAGCTCACGTCCCAGTCGACTCAGATCCTTCACATAATTTCCTCGGTGGAAAACACAGGATTCTCTAAAGAGCCTTGCCCTGAACACACCCCAGCGATCCAGTAAGTCGGCCACTGGGTCTGCATACTTAAAAATAGAAGTCAGAAACATGGAGTTAGCAGCATACAGATAAGGCTGGTTTCACAGAGCCAGGCAAAGGAGGGACACCAAATAATTTCAGACAAAATTCCCTTTCTTCGTTTTCTTCCCTGCTCCTCGTTAATTAACTTACTTGCCTTGCAAACCTGAAGTGATTAATAAAGAGATAATGTAAAAGGAGGACAATTATCTTTCTGCAGAAGGCTAACTTGTACTCTAATTTTTTCTGTGATTTATTGATTAGGTTTTATTCTTAGTGCCAACTTAAGAGTTACTGTAAGAGTTTTCCAGAGGTTGATAGATCCAGAGATATCAACTAACATTACTGTAAAACCAGCCAGTGCTAACAGAAAATCCATAGGAAGCATTTCCACAGCTGATTTGTTTCCATGTGCCTCTAAATATAAACTGCAAGGAACACATCTGAGCCTGATGTGGCTTTTCCAAGTGATGCCCTTAGAGTGACTGGGTCAGTAAGACTCTTAAGGTTACCAAATTGCATAACTGGGCCACAGAGGATCAGACAAAGAAGTTATAAGGAAAAATACCACAATACTAGAGAAATTCTCATTTTATACATAAGATGATACTTGAGGTGAGGCACAGCTTAGAATCCAACAATTGATATAAACTGACCAAGAAAAAGTATCCAAATAAACCAAAAACATGAATAACCACATAATTGAAAGAGGTAGTTGTAACTTATTATTGCAGGGTGGGAGTTACCATTTTGCTATGTTTTTTTCTGTATTTTAAACTGATAAAAAAACATGATGTTGAAATCAATCATCTTCTGACTATGAAAAATTAACAGACACCTTACTTCAGTATGAAATTGTTGCAGTATCTAAGATTTTTACAACACAACTGAACAGAACATGGTAAAGAGAATTCAGGGTAGAATCTGTGCTGGAAGGCATTACAGATCAGGGTCCTGCCCCCCTTCTACCATCACTAGGTTGCACTAAAAGCTTGCCATGCTAGAAGCATTATTTAGAAATAACCAATATAACTCTACAAACAAGACACCACAAATACAGTACACTGAAGGTGAAGAATTTTAAGATCAGTCCACTACTGTAACATCTACCACAAAACTACCTACGAACTACTACCGCTACTGCAGACCAGAGGGCACAAAATATTCCTGCTGACGTTTCAGGCTTTGCAAAAAAACGTCTCATTTTCCAACTCCAGATTTGCAATTGCACCTTGACAGAACAAAAAAAAAAAAAACCAAAAAAACGTGTTCCCAATTTTCAGCAAATTTCTGAGTCACTGGTTGATCGTGTGGATGGCGTTTAATTCGGTGTGTTTTATTTCGTGCCCAGCTTTAATGTGCTGCTTTACTCGCACGCTATTTGTTCTAATTTCTCACTATAACCATGGTAACTTGTGAGCCTTTCATATTGGCATCGTGAGCAATGCATGGAGGCTACATTATGAGACGAGCCCATATGTGATGGTGTTACCATGGAAACACTTACCCACACACTAGCAGACAAAGTACACACTGTCAGACAAAGAAGCAGAAAAGAAGGGGAAAAATTAAGATAGTACCAAACTGTGGAAATAATTATCCATAGAAAACCCAACCAAAAAGTCCACTGACCAGCACTGAAAAGGTTAATGAGATGAGGAGAGGAACAAACCTTGGCTAGACTGGCTGTGAAGAGTACACATTCAAAGAGCTCTCCCATCCTCTGAAGAAACTCATCCACATGTGGTCGTTTCAAAACATAAACCTGGAATGATAATGACATTTAGGTCAGATGGTGCTCAAGGAAAACTAAAAAAAAAAAACCAACCCAAACCAAACCACTCCTGCAATCCTAACACTTGAAGAAACAAAAAAGTTAACAGGGAATCAGTTCAAACGAGATGCTGAAAATAAAAAAAGAAGCGCACAAGATAAAAGTAGAGATCCAATAATGAGAGATTGGCACGCACAGGCTGCCAAGCCCCATGCTGATTATGCCATTGCAAACACTGTGCATCATCTGGAGTGATGCTTCTGGAAAAATCTCATTAAAGGCAAAGAGAGACAGGAGGCCTTCTCAAGCAACGAGGATTCGCGTCTCTCAACCAAAAAACCGGTTTGGTGCTGGTGCCTTCAGTGCTGAAGAGCTTTAGAGAGGGAATAAATTCGATGAAAACTCTGTGATGACAGGAACTGCACAACAGGGAGCTGTTTTCTCTCTGTGGCTAATTCTTTCATTTTTTTAAATTCCAGGTGCTAAGTACCACATCTCACCATGGAGAGTTATCAGTCATCCAGCTCTGCAGGGAGCTTTGTTCACCAAAAGCCTTCCCAGCACCACGCAGAATGTCTAAAAATGCTGTTTTCAAAACAAAGTCTGCAGCATCTTCTACGAGGAGCTTGCCCTAAAGATGGCAAATACTCAAGATCTCTCTCCTCTTGAGAGAGATCCTCTCAGCAATGCTGTACTGCCTTTTTGCACCGACATCCACACAGGCAGCTTGGCTGCCTACTGTCAACAACCTGATTAGCAGATATTAGGGCCTCCCTGCCTCTCTTTCCAGAGCAAGCAAGATGATTTTGCATTCACAGAAAATACCAAGATAAGATAACTGCTGCTCAGAAAGCTTGGAAGTAGCTCACAACATACTGGGAAGCTGAAGAGGGGAGTCTGCTTAAAAAATATTTATCTATCTTGTTTGCAGTTAGATTAGAAGTTTGAGAGAAAACACTGGCAGCATTTTATCTTCTTTGTTTGGCAAATAATCCTCAATACTGGAAATTTCAAGTGGAGAAGTCTGGCACAGAACTGACTGAAATTTCAGGAATTTCCTTCCTTGACATGTAAAACTAGATTAATTTTATGTGTTTTACTAGCTTCATATTAATAAGAGGTAAAAAAATGGAGGTAGCCAGAGAAAAGGCCTGAAGGAGAAAAATACAGAAACAGTAGCTTGAACTGAAGTGTAACAATTAAAGCCTCCAGCAAAAGAAAAAGAGTGTGTAATTGGAAACCAAAAACCTCAGTCTGAAAGCAAAGTTTTATTAACAACATATACGATGGAGCTGCACCTCAATGACTAAATCAGAAATGTTAGTTACTCTTCCACTTTATGTAGCATACAGATCATACCATGAAGCCCTGACCTTCTTTAAGTTATTCCTATGAAATTTATCTAAACTATTTCTGGTCTCATAAACATTACATTCAAAGTTTGATACAGATAACAATTTATAACCCATATACATTTTTTTAAACAACGACAGCAGCACCTCACCCATCAAGTAAATGTGACATTTTATGAATTAAAGACAGTTAACAGATTTACGTCAACACCACTCTTTCCAGATAATTACAGCAATGTTTCCTGTATTCCACCAGGCATAAACCAAGTAGTTTCCTCCCCTATAACAATGCAATTAATTTTTCATTAATTCTTACTAAACAAAGTTGTTCTGTAGTATTTCCTCTCTAAATTCTACCTTTGAATTTTTTAAAGACACAGATAAAAAGACAGCTGCAGTCCCCCTGCTTTTGGGTATCCAGAGACTATCCAACTTCACAGTTGTAAGAAGAAATATAGCAGGATCCAAGTTACTCCTTAATAATGACTTTTAATTTAATTCTTTAGCCTTAAATTATATTTTTGAGGGCAGAAAAGGGGCACCCCAGAGTCTTTACTAGATAGTTAGTGCTGGAATTTAACATTCATTTCCCTTCTAAAGCCCAGTGTTTTCAGCCACAGCAAAAGAAGACTCCTCTTTGCTCTCCATCCCTATCTATCCCCATGTTGGCGAAGTATTTCCACTTGGAATGTAATTACAAACTCCCTGCCAAGGATATGAACTTTGCTGCTTGCAACATAACCCACCTCCTCCATAAGGAGAGCACACAGTAAATCAACCCTGGAGCTGCAGCCCAAGAGCTCCCAGACCACAGGCTTGTGCTGTATTTGCAGGCAAGTCCTTGCAGGAAGTGCTCTTCTGGCCTATTTGCAGGTCTCCTAATGCTGCACCTCCTCAGTGCTTAGCTGTAAATACACAGCATTTTAAGTTGTGCTGTCCCCCTTCTGCAGTTTAGATCTCCTGCTCCACCAAAGGGCACCCACAACCTCCACCACTTGAGTTTCTTGCTGTTTTGCCTTAAATCTTCCCTGCTGGGACCTGGCCAACAGATTTGCTTCTCATGTTAAATGCCTGATCAATAATAAATGTCATCTCTTAGGATGAAGTCTCAATAAACTTTCTCTTTAATTATTTCCCTCTGTAAAAGGCCTTAATTCCTCCCCCCTCTTTTTTTTAACAACACTGATTTTTCTTCCTTTGGCAGAACAGCATATCTTAATACTTTGGATAGTTATTCTCCTTCAAGTTTTCTTTGGGAAGTCCTACTTAGCCCCTGGAAGCAACTCCAAGTGTACTGGTATCCTGGGCTACAAAATCTCTTTGGTTTACTTCACATAAAAAGCTTTCTTCAGCTGACAGTGCAGCTCTTTTCTCCTCTTCCTCCTCATTTGGAATTTTTTCCCCCTTTACTTTGTTAGTGGCTGGACTTGAATCTCAATGCTGCCTGGTTATTTGTGGCTTGGCTTTTTCTTCTGTTGCCTGATGGCTTCAGTTTAAGTCTCTAGACTAACTGGCTCCTGGCATTTTTCTGAGATTTATATACTGTCTTTAGGGCATTAAAAAAAAATATATCCCTCCAATTTTTTTGTGCATTGTGTGTTAACTAATTTCTTCCTTATCACAGCAAGAATTTGGAGGAATACAGTCTTCTTTTTATTATTTAAAATCAACCCTACTCTCAACATGTTAAGCACAAATCAGACACTAGGCATGTTTTCACAGGATTCTTACAGCTGCTAATGGTAGAACACAAGTAATTATCTTTAATTGTTCCCAAGCATTTTGTATTTCCACATAAATTTTCTATACCTCAAAGCAGTCTTAACCCAGAGAGACTCGGTATTTGTGAAACCAGAGGAGAAACACAGCTCCATTTTGATCAATTGAATGGGACACAAAGAACTGCCTTCCAAAACCTGCTTTACAATAACAAAATCTGCAAGTAATGACCAAAAAATCTGCCCAAGACAACTCCGACTCCCGTGATCTCCAGTTCCGTGGGCTGGTGCATCTTCTGAGCAGAAAATAACACACGTCCTCGAGCCTCCTCGTGCTGGGTCACACAGTTGTGGTTGTCTCCCAGTGCAAGTAACCAAGAATAGGCCAGTTAGAATGGATACAGCCTATCCTGGATTACTTGAACCAGGCCACAGCCTTCCGTGAGGAAATCCACGGATTTTGTGCTTTACAGAAAGGAAGTTTATTATTCAAACAGCGTTTTCCCCCCACACTATTAAAAAACATTTTGTATATTACACTCAAAAGTACACAGGTCAAACGTTTCTTTAGCTTTCAGCAACTAAAACAAACAACTGTTAACTGAATTAAAGAAACCAAACACTAAAAACTAGTTTTACTCAACAAATTAAATTTAAGAATGAAATTCCAAGTAACACCAAATCAAACTCCTCCTGGCTGCCTCCTTTTACACTTTGACAGCAAGGCACAAAGGCACTGCAAGTCATTTGGATAAAAGACAAAAGGACAACTATACCCTAAAAATCTTCCCTTACTGGGGATTAAAGCTACATTTAACGTGCAGTTTCTGATCTGGGGGCTTTGGTCACTCCACACTTGTTCAGTGGGAAGCAGCTCCAAAGGCAGAAGTTACATCAAGGCTGAACATCTTTCCCCAGCCACTACTTCCACCCTCAATAAGCCTCCTCTCAGCTGCAACACATTTCACTGAACTTCCCACAGTTTATCCCTTGTAATTTGGTAGAGTGGGAGACCAGCTTTGGTTTCCTTTTATCCAGAGAACCAGAGTGAAATGACAGAACTGGCCAGAGAGGGTCAGCTCACATCAGAACTGCCCAGCTGTGTCCGTGCCACCATTCCCAACACAAAGCGTGGGATTCTTCTCCTGGAATTCCAGCTGCCCTCGGATGGGCACAGTCTCTGCAGGCATCTAAAGGTCCACAACAGAAGGAAAGGGAGGTGCTTCCACACATGATTTATTTCCTTCTAAAATCAAGTGACAAATCCTTCCCAAAGATAAGGTAATTCAGGCCGGAGTAAGAAAGATGGGAGAGGGAAAAGGGGTGTTCAGAAAAGCTATTTTTTAATCTAGGAAGCTCGTTTACCCAAGTACCCTTTAAGATGATGAATTATCCTCCCTATATAAAAAAAAAAAAAAAAAAAGAGTTTCTCTGACCTTTGGATTATAAATTATGTAAGGGAAAACAAACTCCCCAAACTAAAGATAGTATTTTTTTGAATACCTCTGTTGAACAGCAAAAAATACGGCATTTACCATGAAAAAACTTGTCAGGTATGCAAATCTCAAAACTCTTCCAAGTGCCCAGCAACTGAATTTGCCACAACTCGTGTTTTTGGTGCACGAGACCCAAACAATCTCACATTATTTCGAATTTCTCCCTGAATGGGCACTTCTGAAATGGTCGTTTCCCTGTTTGTTTTCCTTGGGGTTCTGTCTCTAAGGCAGAGTTCAGTGACAACAATAACCTGCCAGACCATCTCGTGGCTGATAAGGTACCAGGCTTACTGGTAAAGCAGGTAGGGATATGCACCGTGGACAGGATGGTTCCACAACATCTCACATATCCCGCGGTGTTTTACACAGGTGGAAGTATTTCCCAAGGTCAATGATTAATCTTTGACCGTATGAACTGCTTAAGAAAATGGATGAGCATTACCCAGATGACAAATTCTGAGAAATAACAAAAATTGCTCATGTTTATGCTCTAAGTGACTGAAGAATTGCAGGTTTGAGGCGGGAACAGGTTGTCAAAGCTCCACAGCCTGTGTTAATGCACAGACTCAGCCAGAATATCCCTTTTTGCCCTTTAGTTTGTCACAGTGTAAAAAGAGAAGAAAGATTACTGAATGACAGAACATTACTTTGCCTGCAGAGATGTTACAAACACAGACTTTGCTTATTCTCTGTGCTACCTAAATTACCTTTATTTCAAGAACCATAAATTCCTTACAATTACCTTTATTTTGACCACCCAAATGTGACTGAGGTATTTACCTATTTTAGAGATTAAGAACTGGATATTTTAAGAGATTAAAAACTGGAAATACAAAAGGGATTAAGCAATTTCCTTGAAAATTAAGCAGGAAGTCTCCAGCAAAGCACAGTCAGAGACTCATTTCACTTGATCTTCTCTGTCAAGGAGAAGGAGATGCACAAATCCACTCCCTCTGCCCAGTTGTGGGGTTTTGTTTGTTTGGGGTTTTTTTTGTTGCTGTTTTCTCTTTTCCCCCACACGCAGTCACCTCAAGTGCCAAACTGCATCACGTCTGGTGAAGAATCTCAGAGTTTGCAGCAGGGAATGGAAAAGCAACTGGCTTTTGAAGTGCTTGACTGTGAAGCCCAGATAGTCTTTTATTGAGATTTGTTTCAAAATGTAAATATATCACCTTGACAAGCTAAGTGATGAGAATTCTAAGCCACTCAAAAATTCACTTTCAAAAGCATTCTACGAAGTTTTAGGAGAGAAAAATGTCTGTTTTACAGCACCAAACACAACTAAAGCCCACATCAAATCAGGATTGACAGTATCACAAATCTCCCAAAACATCACTTAGTGTTTTAAGCATCAGCTCTGCTGAACGGTACAGCTGTAAGTAACCTAGATATTGAGTTTTTCTACATGAAACAGGCACAGTGTAAAAACTGTCAAAGCAACTACTACTTTAAAGCATGTTTCTGTCCACTGACTGATATTTAGTAATTATTTTAAGAGTGACAATTACATGGGTAGTTTTCATGAGAGGAAACGAAACGAAAGTATGAACTTTACGATCCATCAATTAGTCCAAGATTAAAATAAAAAACTCTCTGTCCAAGTAAAAATAATCCATATAAAATCCCCCAACATTTCAACAATTAAAGTTCTTAAAAATCTCCATTAAATCACATCCAGGGAAGATTTGCAACTCAATGACTGCATTATCTGTAACCTACAACACCCGGCAGAGAAGATGCTTCAAACAATTTGCAAGGTTCATGTATCAGAAAGGCTCAACTTCAAATTAACCTGTTTAACTCATCTCCAGCAAGAACTTCAATGTCTGTCTGAAGAGGAAAATTTATGGCACTCTAATTTCTCTCATTCGGGGGTTTCAGAAAAGACTACTGATTAAAGACCAAGCTAAAATACACGAAGGGGATTGATTTTCAAATTATGGGTGTTTTGCATTTACTGAGAACCGTTTCTCAGAGCCACAAGTGAAGTTCTTAAAGAGTAAGACGTAAAAATTAGTCTCCTCACAATTTTGTCCAGACCTTTTAAAATATGCTGAAGTATATAAAAAAACCCCTCCTATCAGAGGAACTTTTATTACTTACAGGAATAAAAGGGGACAGAAATTAAACACAGACTGCCACAAAAACCTGAGGAATGTCTGTTCTTCCTTACTACCTTTGTAAAGTTTGGTCCATATGAGCTACCAACAGACATTAAAGACAACTTATGTCCTGTTTGTCCCGGAAGGAATGAGAAATGCAGTATTCAAGTAGCTTTTTCTGGGTTCTAGTCATGTTTGAAATCCCATTCTTAGATCATCTGCTGTTTGAAAATGTTTTAAAACTGACAAAGAGTCAATTTGATTGAAGCTCTCTGAGACAGAGCTTCTATACCTGATCAAACAGGGATGCCTTTCTGGATGGTACATTCCAGAATACACAGTTTCCGTGTTTTGCAAAGGTTACTGAATGCAAAGCAGCAAAGGGAGGAAGAGAACACTCTGGGACACTCAGGACACGATGCTGAAGGAACAGCAGCACTTACCTGATGTATGGTTCCATCGATTTCGACAGGAACGATGAAATCAGCATTGCTAATTGGCTGCAAAGAATGACAAGGAAACAACCAACATTAAAAACGCGATCGTTGGAGGGAGAATTTCAGAGCTGTAAAAGGGAAGAGCACCTACTTCTCAGGAACAAGTTAATAAGCATTACTGACTGTACAAATTCACTCTGTGTGTGCTCTTCACACACACACAAGTCAGAAGCCTCACAGTTGTATTCCTGGATGCTGCAATTCCCTCTTCTCTCATATTTTGGAGCTTCATACAACGTAATACACTTCACTGCCTGAATAACCCCCTCTACCAGTGAGTCTGTTTGCCAGGAAAACATCTATTTGGCTGAACTCTTCCACCAAGTCTGTGTGGATACTTGATAATCAAGAAAATCAGCTATGTGCTTCACATATTCTATTCTGGGTCATCAAGCAGTAATTAATTAAAAGTAAAGACAGTGGTAACAGTAATACCACCTAATGGTTATATCTGAATATAACAAGACTCAAGTTGTATAGCTAATTGATTCTCAAGATGCCACACTTTAAGAACCAATAGCAATCAATTTAATCATGTAAAATTGCATTTTAATTCCAAAGGGAAGAGCAGACACACTCTGCCCAAGTCCTTGAATCCACTTTTCTAGCCTGTCGATCACAACTTATTTCTTAAGACTTACTGTGAAAAACTGCTGGTCAAGTAAAACTGCTTTGGAAAGCAGGAAAGTGGCCTTGTAGGCAGTTTAAGAGTACATAATCTAATCTTGGCTAGACAGCAGTGGTAGTTGGGAACATGATGCTAACAACGTTTACTAGTTCAAATGGACACCCAGCTTGGCAGAAGCCTTGGGTACAGCTCATGCTTTATGTCCATGATAAAAAAGTAGCCATGTAAACATGCCTGGCTGAAGCTTGTAACTCATTCCATCATCTGCAGCTTGGAAATGGCTGAGACAGAGCTGCCAAATACAATTTTAACATGACTGATTAACAGACAATATGCTCCATGGATAAGAGCCTAGAACGAGGGCTGGGAGCAGTCTGGGTAACTGGTGTTACTAAGCTAAGGCTGGAAAACATCTTCACTCAGCTCTACTACACTTGTACAGACCTTCCCACCTGGTTTTCTGGATCAGATTGATCTCAGGAACCACCAAAAAGACGCCCCTGAAGAATCTGTGAGACTAGAAACAGACTTCAGACCCACTCAGGGGGGCAAGGGGGTGCCAAGAAAGCAGAGAAGCAGCCAAGGTAAAGAGCAGATCACAAACTGGTGAGCCTCAACAGGGGCTCTGTGAAAAATGGTGGGAAAAGAGAATCCTGCAGCACGAACCTGACAGCATCACTTTGATCCCATTCCCTGGAGAAACAAGATTCTAACTGCACTATGAACAAACCTTCCTACGAGGAGAGCAAAATGACCGCAGGAATTTCTATGGAGGGCAACACCCTCTCTCAGGAGCAAAGTAATGAGGAAGATGGTTTGATCTGACACCTGGAAGTGCTGGGTCAGAGGGCAAAGGAGAAGCTACACGGAATCTATTCATCCTGACCAACCAGTATTGGCAACCAGACCTCTCTGGAGCAGATGATGCTGGAAAACTCCACCCTCCTGATGACCCCTGTGTGAGTATGACCTGAAGATTTCCTCAAATACACACAGTTCAATCCAGATTTTATTATTTTTTTTTAGCTGACACTGAGCAATTTCCCCTTTCTGCTTCAGGAAAAGACAGAGGGGAGGCTTCCATCTCTTCCCTAAATGGAGCCACTCAGATAGAGAAGGTACTCTGCAGCATGTCCAACAGCCACAAAAAAGTACACAAAAATGTTCTGAAGCTTCACCTCAAAAAGAAACCCAAATGAACTGTCAATAAGCCTCAGCCACCAGTTTTCCAGTGGGTGCCAGCTCCCTGCAGACTTTGAAGAGGCTTGCACACACTTGAAGAATTTATATATGCATGACTCCCTTAAGCAAGAGAAATACTCTGCAGCAGCAGAAAAAGAAGAGGTCACTGCAAGCTACTGAGGTTTTGAAATCCACTGATAAAACTACAGCTTTTACAAAATTTAATCCTAACAGTAGCTACACCACCCAGATGTCAGAGAAAAGCACATTCTGTTTAAACAACTTCCATTTTTTTCCTAACAAATAAAAGCTCACCCTCAGACTTTGCAACACTGACCAAACTACTCTTAACTACATATTTGCTTCCTCCACTTAAATTTCAGGTCCTGTGTTATTTTCTTGTTGGCACAAGTGATAAGGAAAGGGAGCATGGACTGGGGGGTTCTGTGCTTTGTCATGGTGGGGAGAGAGGAGGAAAGTCTCCAACAATTTGCTGGATGAAGGTTTCTGGAGTTGTGCACGTGAAGCACGTACGTGCCCCTCCAGCAGGAACCACAGAGACAGAGCCTGAAAGGAGACAATGTATTTCCACTGAAAATCTTCAGCTAGAACTGTTTCTGTTTTAATAAAAAAGTCAGTATTTTAAATGTTCTGAGAGTGTTTCACAGCCACTTTTGAATACGACTGCATTCCAGACTTGCATGTGGTTTAATACATTTTACACAAAACCATGTTTACATCTCCTTGATTTAAAAATTTACTATTTTTGCTTCTATTATTGTTTCTATGATGGGAATGATAACTATCCTGTCTATCTATTCCTTTTTTACTCTTGCCAAGGAACCCCAAACTTTATTCCTTTAATATGCACCTAACATGAAAGACTAGTACCTCCTTAAAGCTTCACAAATATGCAGGGGCATAAAATAGATGAGAATTACCCTCCTTCAGATGTTGCTGCTTTCATAAAAGAGCACTTTAAATATTCTGCCTCTCTGGTTGTGTTAAAAAAACATGTAATCTGCATTTGAAATATGAAGCCCATTTCATAACAGAATTACGAATTCTGAAGTATAAGGTGTTTTAAATAAACCCTTTTTTGTACTAAAAATCACAAATTTATGTATGCTTTTAAGTGGGGACCTGCTTGGTTAGAGCAGACATGTTTTAATGAAAAAAAAAACAAACACCAAAAATACCCCCAAAACCCCACAAACTAAAAGAAATTGCAGAAGTAACTTGATTATCCAGGTAGAGCAGGGTGCACAGAGGCATTAAAACCCCTGCTCTGCTGGAACGTATTATTTTTTATGATAATTAATGGTCTTGATTCAGTTGAAGTGTTTCCCTTTCTGAAACAAAACCCAAACAGCACCACTGGACAGTGCCAGCCACTGAACAATTAAAGCCATTTCCTCCAACACTTGGTTTTCTCTTACACATCCCCCCTCACAGGGTTTTTTATATTAAGATAACACCTTTGTAACCATAAGGCTACTACTGCAGAAACTCCAACATCTGCCTAACACTACTGACCTCACACAAAAATGGAACAGTTTTCTTTTCCTAACACAAAAAATTATTCAGTGCTCATCATTAAGCAGAATAATAGTTTCATTTTTTAAATATCTATTTAATATCATTTAAATGCCCATTAAATATAATTTGAATGTTACCCACAAGGATTCAGAAAGCAAACCTGCATTTCTACCTTTCAGATAACTAAGCCTAATATTTCATTATTATTATTATTATTATATAAATTTAGATTTTTAAATTCAGCTTTCCCTCCCTACTTTTGATTTTTGGTAAAATGGGAAGGCATGGTTCCTCCCTTCCCAATCCAGCTGTGTTTTTCATCTCCCTGAAAAACTCCCCAGTGCAAACTCAGTCTGGGTATAGAAGACAAATCTGGCACTGAGGTTGAGGGGTTCCTGTGCACCACCATAAACTGTTATATACCATCAGGCACAATAAAGACAGAGAAAAATCTTAATTTCAGTTTGATGCAGAGGAGTATTTGTTCTAATATCTCCATATAAGGTTTTCTTTAAGCCAACAAAGACAGGCTGTTGCCAAATTCTAACCACAGCATGAATTACAGTTTGCATTTTAAATGCTGGCAACTAACTACTGAAGGATTAAAAAGCAGTGTTTAAGCCAGCAGTGAAAAATGGAGTGCAACAACTAGAAGAATACAAAGGTAGTAATTTTAGTTTGCCAGTAGTAACTATTAATTCTCATAAATTCTCCAATCAATGTATAAAACCAGCAGATGCTTTATCATGTATTAGATTTGCTAATCAGAAATGCTCTCAGTACTCTGAGCCAACAGATTATTTCTGAAGTCTCCCAATTTCAGCACTACTTAAACAATAGAAAAATACCTCTACTTCCACCACATGCTGAAATCTGAGTGGTTATAAAAGTTGCTTCTCAAAGGTGACTGACTCAATAGCAACAACTAAATGGTATTTGCTTTCTTGCTCTAAAAACTAAATATTAAACCCATATTTCCATAGCAACACATTTTGCATCTGTTAAAATACAGGTTCTTGCTGAAACACTTAAAGCCATGAAGTCAATACCTATTCCAGGCCTTGTTGCAGCCAATGTGACTGTCTCAGAGTCAAAAAATAAAAAAAACCAATATGTGTGTTCCTCCCCTTACAACTAAATTAGGATGAATAACCATAGGAGCAGCAATGAGAACTCCCAGGCATCCTGGGAGAGCCTGTAAGACGAGTTCAAGTGTTAAGAGGCTTAACAGTTCCTGCAGCATTCACTGACAGATTAAAGCTGCAAGAGATCACTTTTGAATCTACTTACCTTAAATGAACTGTGCACTAAAGTTTCATCTAAATCAATGACCACACACTTCTTCCCATAGTCTGATGCTGTCAGTTCTGGCAGGAGGTATTTAGCTGGTGGCTAAAAACACAAAAGACAAGAGGAAGACAACAAAAAAAAGTAAAACCTCCATCCAAGGGGCATTCTTCTGTCAACATTACTATTCTAGCAATTACTGGGAGCTGGAATACATGACTCGAAATTCAATGCTTTTCTGGGATCACCTCAAGTACACATATGGAAATTAATGGCTCATGCAATTGCAATACCCATACAGGCTTTTTTAATATTATTTTTTAAATGAGAGGCTTGTTTGGAATGACCTCCAAAGCACTGGAAATGAAAGTGGCAAAACATCATCACTAGCTAAGAAAACCCAGGGAGAAATAAGACATTTGATACAAAACCATCTTTTTGTAGTGACCCCTTCTCCTAATGCCTGGTTTTGGTTGCTGTTTTTATCCTATTCCCAACAATGCCATTTCCAGCCATATCAGGCTGAGGGACATTTACACAAATCGCTATTTCTGTTTGCCAGGAAAGGTGCTAAAGTGGAGGAATCCATCCTGAAGGAAGACAGCATTATTAATTTTTATCTTCTGGGACATGTCTTCACTTTCATTTGCACCACTTGTGAGGGCACTGACCAAATTTCATGTGGATTATGCTCCCAGTCAAGGCATTAAAACTGCAGTAAAGAACCTAAACTAGGCTCTTGTACAGCATGCTGCCCTTTCTGAAAAATGGTACCAATTCCTTGAATTGACAATTTTTCTGAAAGCAATGCAGACAATCTCATATTCTTTGGATTGCTCATTTCCCACTGTAACACCCCAGTTAGCAATAAAATTATGGTTACTTTAGATTTTGGTACTGGATACTTCCTGAAATAACAGAAGTGGGAGAGAATGCTTCCATTTGGAGCTGAAACACTGCTGCTTCTCAAAGAGGGTTTTTTTTTTTGATGAAGGAAAAGGATTAGCTTTATGGAAAAGTGTCAACAGGGAGAAGCTCAAGACTGAGAGGAAATTAAATTAATTTAGAATTGGGTACAGAACTCTAACTTCATTCTTTTGCTATCTTTTTATCTGTTCATGCAGTGTAAGGATGCATCTATTGTGGTTTTGTTCCTTTTAACAGCCCTTTGGAGAGGTTCTGGCAGAGATCTGAGGCCACTCCTGTGCAGGTGACACACAGGTTGAGTCAGACACCTCCACACACCCTCTGGCTGCCAGGACAGATCATCAACCACTGACTGAATTCAGACCTTGTCTTAAGCTGACAGATACTGGCCAATGATGCCTAATAAGTTCTTGTTTAGAGGAAGCACCTAACAAATGAGATTCTGGACTTAAATAAGTGTCTTTAGCTAAAACAGAAATTCTTGGGGCGTTTTTAGGAGTGCTCACTGCAATTGATTTAGTTCCTTACAATTAACGACGACAACAGTTCCTTCAGCTACCAAACTGGAAGCTGCCTTGAGTACAAGTCACTTGTCTCAACACATTTCCTCTCAGCACAAATCTAACAACAACCTTCTAGAAAAAACAACTTCTGCCTAATGCCTGTAATGGACCCAATCCATCACAGTCACCCAACCAGGCTCAAATTTACAGGACACCCTTTCTAGGTTATATAGACAGTCCCACAACTGCTTCAGCTCTACCTCTGCTTGTTGGCAACTAGGGTCAGACCTAAAGAATTTTAGTTTCTCGCTCCTTGATTTCAAAGCCTAAAAGGTATTTAGCACCCCACCTCAATTTTTCACAGCAAGAAGGATTCAAATTTGCAACCTGAACAGACAAAAAGGTTACTGAAAGAAAAATCCAACCCATTTAAAGATAATGATCTTCAGAACCCACGTTCTGATACTGATTTCTTGTCTTTTTGAAGATGCAAAAAAAGGAGGAACATCTCAAGAAACCTTAAGCATATTTTTTCTTTTTAAATAATAGTTCAGTTCATTTTTGTGCTCTTAGAACTGTATCTAGTTCAAATTTTTGACTATGTTAATCTGCACCAGCAGTTCAAACCCAGAAATTCCTCCTGCTATATGAATTTTTTATCAAACTGAAAATACCTATAGCTATGAAAAATATATGGGAATAGATATTCTTCCACATCAAATTATGCTATGAAAAATAGGAGCCCTGTCTAATCAAAGGTATCTTTAGTTTTTTATCTGGAAACTGTTATGCTTGTCATCAAGAAAAGGATGGACATCCAGCAGGGACTGACTACAAAATGTGAGAACCTTCAACTCTTGATAACCTGAATTCCTTGACTGCATTTGAGACAACCCCTGCCCATCTTCTTCAGTCACCTGCACCCTCTGCTTTCTCAAAAGCAGTGATAAGAGTTTTTCTCCCTGTTCAGTACTGCATAAAGAAATAATGTGCAGTTATTGACCTAACTTTACCTAACAAGACTAACCCTCAAGGTTTTTCCTGGGGAAACACCAACCCTCCTACAAGTTTTGGCATCTTGGGCTCGATCTGATCCAGCTTCCCTAAGTTCACACATTTGAAGTTCAGAAGAAATGCGTTTTCCATTTCACAACCCGTGCCTCCGTTGCCCTCAATTGTGAAAACACATCTGCACCCCTGATAATCTAACAGGGATAAGGAAACTATTCTGGAGCTGAAGTCACTACAAGTTGTGAGGCTGCTAAATAGCTGGTGTAGGACTCTGGAGCACGGATGGCATTTTTGAGGCTTTAGGAACTTAAAGGATTTGTATGTTAAATATCAGTCCATTTGTTTTGCTGTTCAAGTTTTCTGACCTAAAGCAATTTCCACATGCCAAGAGTAGCAAAGCTTTGAGGCAGAAACAAGCATTACTCAACACTGTATTTTAATTTCTTCATTAACAGAGACATATCCAAGAAGAGTTCTAATTACCAGATTTCCACCATAGTTAATAGTTATGGATCTTTTATAATTTTTTTTTTCCCCACATAGTAGTTTTAAAGACATCTAAGATGATTAAGAATATTTAATAGTGGCTAACAGCAACTCATATTTACTATGCAATACTCTCTGAAAGGCTGCAGACTTCCACAGAACTCAGCAGAAAAATAACACGTGGTCTCTCAGTACTTTTAAGTCCTAGCTTGGTCTTCAATTCCAACAAGACATAAATTGTATACAAGTTAAACTAGTCACTGTTTGGGATTTATGCATTCCAGCCAGGTCTCATGGCTGATCAGCTCAACAGACCTTGTAGTGAAACGACTGCTGCACTGCTTCAGTCCCGTGGAAATAGTATATTCCCTAAGAAAAAAAAAAAAAAAAGGGGGTGGTGGTGGCAAGAGAACAGGACTTTTGGTTGAAGCATAAACAGCTGGTCAACACAAATCTTTCAGAAATTTACTGTATAAAACAATCATCAGCTTTCTTCCCTGTAGGCCCATATTTCCCACAGAGACAAGTATCAGAATTAATAAGCCCTTTTTTGTTTCCTACACTGGCAATGTTGTCGAGCCTAAGTGCAGCACACTAATTCACTGTTCGTGTTCCCTTCAACTCACGCTCTGGGTTGCACTTCACAGAGCTAACAGCTTCTCCCAGCAATTACACAGAGAAATACTCTTATAGAAGATAAATGATTTCTACTTAGAACACAGATGCCAGGAGGTGCCAGCTCCTGTTATGGAACAGGCAGTTCCCAAAATTTCTTCTGTAAGTTATAACAAGGAATTGTCTAAATGTACGTGAGGACAAGTGAAAATCCCAGTGATAAGATTTAACTTCTGCAGGGATTCTGAGGGGTAATTCTGGTACCACTCCTTTACCAGTGGTATGTTATACTGAACAACTATTCAGGATGTTGCCTGAGTGTGGCTTTGTATTTCCATCTACCTCTTTGTTCAAAAGAATTAAAAACAACAAAGCTGCTATGGGTCTACTTTGATTTAGGGGTTGGAACCAGATCACCTTTAAAGTCCCTTCCAACCCAAACCACTGTATGATTATATGAGATACAAATAGGATGAAGTTCATATTTTAAAACCCCCCAAAGTAATGCTGGTTCTATTTTCTGAAGAATCTAACCTAAAGCTGGAATGTTTCTTCCTCAGCAATTACCTCTATCAATAACCAAGCAAAAAAATCCATATTAACTCAATTAACTTTAAATTAATTGCCATTAATACAGGACAAATCTGCTTAGCAGAAGATCTCTTTCACTGCATTGCACATATAAATGCATCGAAAAGCAACACAAAACGCACATAAAGCAATGGAAGCTTTCAAACAGGTGATCTCAGCAGACAGCCAGGTTTTAAACAGGCATTATAAAGCTCCAAAAATCCTCCTATTTTGACTGGAGGTTTCCACTTGAAACTTTAATGAGTGGGGGAGTGGACAGAGCACTTTTCAGAGTCGCTACGGGGTTCTCTAAGCACTTGAAGTGATGACATTTGCAACAAGCCCTGTAAAAAGTAAATGTCCACTTAATTGTGACCAAACTCGCTCCGTGTTTAGAAGACTTTCCTCCTGGTTTGCACAAGCCACACAGTTCAAACAGCCCAGTTCTCACCCCTATGTAGCAGAGCATCAAGAATTTCTGCATTAATGGGTCTCAAAACACACAGTTCAGAGTTGTCTCAGAGGGATCCTCTGGACAAACAGCCCTTGGAAGACTGGCAGAGAAACACTAATTTTAGGTGTTTTTTTCCTAACATAACGTTGCATTTTCTTTCCTACCACTTTCTCCACGTGCAGCTCACTTGTGCCTTTATTTAGATGCTGACATACTAATGCTGGCTGGGCCCTGTCTGACAGCCAGGAGCACTGTGATACTGGAGAGTAAATGTCACACAACTGCCCGCGGGCGATGGCTGCTTGACAACACTCCCAATGTCCTGCTGGAAGGAGCATCAGATGGCACCAGGGAAGGGGAATTAGTGTGTTTTAAAGTCACCTGCTTGCTGAGAACTCTACATCATGACTGCAGAGATAAGTTAATTTTACTGCCTTATTAAAGTGCTGGGAATATAGGTCAGCAAAATTACAGTTGAGCTTAAAAAGAAAAAAAAAGAAGGAAAAAAAAGAAATCCCTTCTTGAATCATTCATTTCCCTACCAGTACCCAAATCTAACAGAGCACTGCTTTAACACTGCAAAGACAATGTCCTAACAAAGCATCTCATTTCACTGCTGTACCTGTCAGAGCTGTACTCATTTATAATTTCAAAATTTTGTTCTCTTTGAATTCTTTTCCTGTTAATACCTACACTCACCCTTAGCAAAGATTTTATTCCAGGTCAGAGCACAGCCAGAACATGTTTCGTGTTCAAATAACTACCAGCAGAGCAACTACAGTCACCTAACTGAATTTGGCAGGTATGTAAAAAGAAAAGTAATTCAGGGATCAGTATTTTCACCCATCCAAACTTTTCTTTTTCTAGACTTGCATATAGATAAATTCCATGCATGAACATGTGTGTATTCAGACACACAAATCTATGCATGAGCCATATGAGAAATACCAGGTAAGCAACAAAAAGTAATTCCCAACAGTTCCTAAATCCAAGAAAAACTGGTGAGAGAGGGAAGATGTGCACAGTCACAGTGAGCTCCTGACACTTCTGCTCTGCAGCATGGGCAGGGTTCTTACAGGAGGTTTTATAATGTTGGGCTACGTGAGAAGGAAGGGAAAGAAATAAAAAAAATGGTATCTTGGGGAGTATCCAGGTCTTTAAAGGCTACCAAATATCTCAAACAAGAGGTCTGTGTCAGTAACTCCACACATCAGCACTGCTATTTTCTGGAAAACTCTGCATAATAAAGTATTATAAACAGCAAAGGAGCTAAAAAAAAAAAGAATTTTCAGTTTTAAAAAGCCTAAGCCTTCATCCTCATAAAAAAAAAAAGGCAAAAAAGAGCAGCTTTTTGACCAAAAAAGGTTAAAACTAATTAAATTAAAAGCTTCAGTTTGAAGAACTTCTTTTTTTCCCCTTCCTTTTATTTAGCCTTGAGAAATAATTCAGATGCCAAACAGCATTCCAAGTTTAATCCAGGCAAGATAAACAGAAATACTAAGGCCCATAAAACAGCAGCTGATACCAAGAGCATCATCTCAAACAAGGGCAGTAATGCAGCTCTAGTCAGTGCACTGTTTTCCTGAAGTGACTTGTTTCAAATAAGTTTCACAGTTTCTAACTCTTCCTTTCAACTGGAATACTGGGAAAAATGAGAGGAAAAGGTTTTTGTAACTGTGTCTCACATAGTGGTGATGAGTCACCTTTTGCCTCTATTAAAATAAGTAACTTCAACTTTTAGAGCACTTCAAGCATTTCCAAAATGGTAAAAATTCAGATGAAATCCACATAAAACCCAAACTCTTCTTTTAGTCCCTGTGGAACACGTGCAGTTCAATTCATCTCTGAGTATACAACATCACAGACAGAACATAAAATCCTTTTGTTAACATGCAACACAAAACAGACCTGTTAGACTGCAACATAAGATGAAACAAAGCAAAAGTTATGAAAATTATTAAAAGAAAAAGGGATAAAAATACATACACTTGGTATAGGCATGACCTGCATCTGGTCACCCTGGGGAAAAAGAAAAAAAAAAATCACTGTAAGGGTAATGGCTTTTAAAGGGTAGAACAAAGGTCTGGAGCAGTAAATGTAGCACTCAAACATTTTAAACCAAAAGTTCAAACTATTCAAGAAACCAGGGTAAAAAAAATAAAAACAGGGTCTTGCATTTTAGTTGCTGGAATGATCTGTTAGTACACTGGTATTTATGATTTTTAGGAGACTGGACTGGTAAAACCCATGCTATGATTAATAAGAGATGGCAATTAGAAAGTACCTGTATTTACTGTAACTCTTTCAGCTTTAAGATCTACTAATGGGTATATTTGTCAGTTTTCACTGCAGCAGCAAGAGGCTGAGCCAGACCTTGGTAGCAGGGCAGAAACCCACTCCTTGAACTGAACTTCACTTGAGACAACTGACTCAGAAAAAACAGCATTTTTTGCCCAGGCAATATAAAAACTAACCCAAGAAATCTCACTTTCTTCACCCAGAAAGAGGCAACAGTATCACAGCTCTTCCCATGGTCTCACTTTTTGTTATGTACTTGTGAGAAGGCAAGAAAGTCTTGGCCAGCTTGACTTTTTCTTCCCTTCCTGGGTCCTGATATACAGAGACAAGGACAGGCCCAAAATGGAGAAAGGTTGGTCACAGGGTCACTGACCCAAATACGTAAGGGATTGTGGAAAATGGGGACAAATATTTGCTTTTTGGTAGGCACAGCACAAGAAAAAAAAAGGAAGCTGATCCTTCAAGCATAGATATTACTTAGGTAGGTGATTTAATTCTTGAAAACTTGGACAACAGAGGCTCTGACTTCCAGCAGAGCAATTACTGAAAGAGCTGTTTTCAACATTAGCACGGCCTTTTCCAGCTGAAGGACTCTTGTGCTTACTTGTTTTGATGTCTTACTACAGTGTTGACGCATCTCTGACAGACAGAAGTAATTCAATATTAAAGCCCTCTTTTTTTAGTGCTAAAACATCAGAAATTTTTACTGAAGTTCGACCAAAATCCTGAGAAGCTGAAGAAGCAACTAGAGAGCAGCAACTGCCGCGAACTATCAAAACCTCTGCACTAGTAAAAAGTACCAATGATTTCTAGAAAAACACACACACACATAAACTGGCAAGAATCCAAGTTTCCCTCAGGGCAACAGCAATAAGAAAAGAAAAAGATTATAATTCAGTAAGTTGATGTTCTGTTAGCAGAACTGACTTCCATGGGAATCCAAAATTGAAGCTGCTACAGGAGGTGCATTACTGTTTGCTTTTTTTTTCTCACAGAATTTCTTAAATAATAATAATAATAATAATAATAATAATAAAAAAGCAAGTAAATTTCCTAAGAGGAACCCTAAAAGCACCTCTGCTAACATCAAAAAGGTAAAGATGAGAACAGCAAAAAAGAAGCAGAAAGATAACTGCACGAGTCTGCTGGGAAACTGTGAGTGCTCACCAACAGGCAAATGTTTTTTAAAAACAAGCCTGCTATGGGAAACTTCTTAAAAGTGTCCTGCCTCATTTCCTAATGCCTTGGAACAGGAAGGGGAATAGGTCATACCGGTATCGTTTGAAATACATGACAGATGACTGCATTTGTTGAAGGCTTTCCACGAGCTCCTCACGTTGGGAACAAGGACAAAGCTGTTCCTAGAATGCCAAAATTTCCCTATTGTATCGCTAAAATAACCCAGGAATTGATTTGTCCAACCACTGAAATCAGGGTTGGGTTTTGGGTTTTTTTTCACGGCACACTATATACAGATGAAATGATAAATCCTATCTTTTCCCTTAGCTGTGTAATTTTGGTTTAGAGACACAACATTTCCAGTACCATGTTGTTCATTAATGCTGTCTGTGGTCTTGTGTGGGATCAATGAGCACCAAGTGACAGGCCACATTATTTTGCTTTTTTTTTTTTTTGAGAACAGTCTGTATTCAAAGATAAGGAGCTGTTTCATTTTAGAGAAAAATCTGTTATTTTGATCAGCTTCATCATATCCAGTTCTTTAAGACAAAGTGTATTCTAGACCATGACAGGTTCTTCAAAAACAGTAATACAGTTACTACTGGACTCTTTCATTGACTTTCAATATCAAGCTTTGCCTCTTAATATGGAGGACTTTTTGGGAGGCAAAGAAGGTCAGAACGAGTGAGCAGTGAGAGAGGAACCAAGCACAGCTATGCAGAGGGGGTTTTGTTTTCTAAACAGATATTCCATACCACATGTTGATGTTGGCCAACAGAACCAAACATTAGGAATTTTCTTGTTCAGATCAGCAAAGGTTAAGCAGGAGAAAAAGTACTAGGATTTACGTTAATCTCAGTTATCTTCTTCCACACTGGAGAGTGGCTTCCACATCCATTCAGAAAACGTGTCATTGATGGTCTCCTCCTCAAAGAGAGCTCATGCTGCTCCTCAAGGTCTCCTGCATGAAGGAGATACTACTTTGCCCTCAAGAACGTGCTCCCTACAAGCTGTTTTTCTCATTTTGCTGGACCATATTCACGTGGGATAGAGAAGATCCTTTTCCCTGCACTGTGTTAAAAACAGATTCCTGAAGCAGAGAACAGTGCTGGAGACACGACCATAGGTCATCAAAACAGCTTTCCAGCATCACCTTGGAGATGGTGGTGCAGCAAAAAGCAGTGGGGAGAAGGAGCCCTGACTTTTGTAGTTGTCAGCATGGGTGAGGTGGCAACGCAGCTACAGGGAAAGCAGCAGGGGCAGCTGCTGCCCCCAGAATAAACCTCCTCCTAATTCTGTCTTCTTCCCTGTTGAGTGTGGATCAAGACCTTCTCCTCTAATCCAACAAGTATAAAAAAACCTTCCCTCATTCATGCTTCATCTCGTTAACAAGAGCCATCTGCCTGATTTGGATCTCACTGTGAAACAAAAGCAAGGATGACTCCAGTGGAAGTGGGTTGTGAGTGAAATGGCAAAGTGCCGATAGACTTGTCAGAGCTGCCTCACCCACCACGGCTGAGAGCAGAGGGAACAAAAAGCTATTTTGCATCTAGCTGTTTTCACCTCTCTCTATCTGGATCCCACTCCTTGTAGCCTGAGTGAATGAAATCTGTTATCTGCAAACACCTCAAAACTCAGATAACAGACTTTACCCAGAAGGAAAAAAACTTACATCCAGAAGCACGCCCAGAAAACGCACAAATTGAGTCAAGTTGCCAACAGAAGAATAGGAATTAAGACTTGAATTTATTCAGAAGAAAACAAAAAATAATTCCCCTCTTCCAACGCTCTGGCCTCTAAACAAAAAAATGTGGCTGGAAGGTGTTGGGGAGCTGCCTGCTGCTGAGGAGGCAGGAAAAAATTACCAAGGGTTTCACGAGGTTGAACATTGTGTGCTCCCAGTGACACATCTGGCTCAGCATCCAAGCTGCAGGCAGGCTGATATACCCACTGTCACAGACATTACATCTCCACAATACATCTTCATGCTGTGCTAAATAGCTGCTGCATTTTAAGAAAAACAAATATACCACAGTTTCAGTAAATACAAGTTATTGTTGAAAAAAATGTTGTATTGAAACTTTAGAGACAGAATGGACCATTCATTACCAGTATTAGAGTCACACTTGGACAAGCAGCTGCTCTGTGAGGAGAAGGTTTAAAAGTGAACTCAATACTTTAAAGAAGTTTTTGGGCTTTTTTTTCCCCCTAGCAGAACAGAAGTCAGTGCTGAAAAAAATTGTTTATTCAAAACCATGCTCAATTTGGGGTTTCTTCCAATCCTATGAAGTGACATGACACTTGACATGTCAAGCATCATCAAGTCACATCATGAAGCACTGATTAACCTGAAGCACTGATTAATCTGAAGCACTGATTTCATTTTTTCTAGTACAGCCAAATAATAATAATAATAACAATAATAATAATAATAATAATAATAAAATCACACAATACAATTACTCTGAACAAAATTTCACAACTGTGTTTCCAATTACTTTATAGAATACTCTCCCCTGATTTCCTTCCTTTTGAACAGGTCAGCATTTAAAGAATCAAGATTCCTGATTACAAGGGAGTCAGTTTGTCACATCAGGTTCAAGAATATGCCAGAAGTAACACAGAACAAACACTGAATTCCTGTGAAACCAGCAGTTGTCTTCCCCACTCCTTCCCCTCCTCTGAAGTCTTTATCACCAGTTTTCATGTAACAACTCCACTGAACAGTAAAGACAGAAGGAAAGTACATCCAAGCCATTTTATATGAGTTTCTAGTGGTAACTGTTTATTGAGCAATGTTCTTTGTCCATTTTTGAAGGAAAGGGTCACAACACATGAGCTGACTGGGCCATGGCCAGAGGTGAACTGTGATGTGGTAATTAATTTATAAAACATATAAATGAGATACCAGATATAAGTAAGTGATCATTTGAGCAGCAGTTCAACAGAATTCTAACCTGGGCAATAAGAATAATGCAAAAAAGAGCTTTAATTTAACAGCAGAGGAGTTTAAGCAATGTGTTGTCAACCTTTGGGTTTTTTCCTGAAACTGGTAATTTGGTCATTCCTGGACACTTAATTTCACCAATTTAGAATCCAAAGCCCAGTGTTGCATGTACTTTCCCCCATTACTTATAATCTCTGAATATAGACAAGATGCTCAGTGTAACTCCATCAAATTCAAGCAGCCTGCACAGTTCTAAAACAGCTCTCCTGGCAAAAAGCACCAGCCTGACAGGGTAACAATATTCAAACATACCCAAGTCTTCAATGCTCTTTTTCTTTCTTTAAAGAATTTCTTATTTACACTGTGTTAGTACTCAATAAAAACAGCACATAAAAACACATAAAAGCTTATTAGTCTTTAATACTGCATTTAAAATAGCCATGTCACAGACTTATTTTGCACTGAAGAACCACCTAGAAGTTCAGCTGTACTTGATTTCTTTTACAAAGGTTTGAGTATCTGACTGCCTTTCACTCAATTTAAGAAAAAACACTCTTTAATTAAACTCTCTTCAACATGTTCCTTGAATTTTTTAACTCTCTTAAGTTTTAACCTGGTAATTCTATGAATGCTTCTCTTCCACATACTCCTTGAAGTTTTCTACTCAAGTTTTAATCTGCTAATTCTACAAATGCTGTGATTTGTGTCTTGGTCTTGTGTGCAAGTGTTGCACAGCTCCAAAACTGCTCACTGAGGCAGCAGAGTGGAGATGGAAACTTGTGTGAACACACGAGCCAATCACTCACTCAAGACATAAGATTTATTTAGAAAGTAATTAAGTGTTTTACAAAATACAATCTGGAAACTACCGACTCCAGACCATTTTTACTCATGTTTTCTGTAGCAAAAAATAAACTCTGTTTTATGTTTTTCTTTCTAATGAACTCCCATTCTCTCTCAGCTGTAGTTTTGCCAGTAGTCTCACTTCAGCCTACTTTCCATTCTCCAGCACAGTGGAAAGGGAAATTTTATTAGTTTCCCACTCCTTTTGTTTCTCAGATGAATGTGTGTGCACATGCTACACACCACTCAGCTTTCCCTTCAGCACATCCAGGCTGGATTTCCCTCATTTCAGTCAGAATGTACCTTGGCTAGCAGAGTAAGTCTAAAAATACATGTACAATTCCTCCTCTTGGCAGAATTCTCAGGGCACTTCACCTCTGCATGAGCAGTTTCAGCATGAACTGCTCCAGTTCAGACTTCACCTCCACACGTACTCTCAGTCTCCATCACTTTAATCTGCTTTCACCAAGCAGTTCCTCTGCTCTTTCTCCTGAGCTTTTCAGAATTTAAACATAACCAGCAAAATCCAAGCCAGGATAAAATGGACTGGACAAAGGCGGGTAAGGAATCCACTGCATCAGACATGAAAAATTACATGAAAAGCAGGAGGGTGATTCTGTCATCTCCATTTCTGCTATTATTCCCCACCATGGATACAACTATATGTCCAATTTCAAAGTCCTGGAAAACTGTATGGAAGAGATGGCACTCCTATGTTTGCCATATTGAACTGAAATTCTTCAGTTCATAAGACAAATGCTCTCAGTGTTATCAGAATTAAAAAGAACATATAAAATCATTAGTGTTGTGATTCTATGAATATGGCAAAGCAATGTAATTAATAGAATTCAATCAAAGTAACATTTTGCCGTTACACAAAATGCTTTGAAGTGTTAAAATTTCTATCAGTTCATTTATTAGGTAAACAAAGCTTAATAATATGGAAAAACGGTCAAAAGCTGGTAATTCTGGATTCAGTGTGTATTAAATAGAAGTGAACTGTTTAGGGAAAAAGGTCCAAATAATGGTTCTCCCTCCTGTTGATTTGTTTTTTCTGCCACTAAAACCCCTTTTAAGTGATATTTAAAAGGTTCCACTACGCTCCAGTGGACACATTTTAACCTTCCTGTAATCAGGAAAGGGAACCAAAGCCAGAGACAACTCAGCAGCTGAAATTTTATGATCTACCTTTTTTTAGTGTCTTAAGTCAGGTTTTAAATGTTGTTTGCTTATAAAATTAGTACTGCCAACACTGTCTATGGAAATACTGGTTTTAAACTGCAGTTGAATAGAAAGTATTAGCAATTCACCACCAAAACAGTAATTTTTTCTCTAAATCTTAACAGGTTTCCCTCAGGTTAAGACAAACCCCTGGGAGCAGAGTTAAACCTCGGTTACAAAAGACCCATATGACAGCAAAATAAGATAAAATCCTGACCTTCTGAAGTCCTCCATTCTCCTCCACCAAAGGAGGCAGAGCACTGGTGCTATTGGTAGATGGTGGTTCGACATTGTAGTCACGAAAGCAGCAGAATAAGGTGCTAAAGATACTTCGACTCCTCTGCTTCTTCAAGCTGATATTACATTGGGACACTGGGGAAAAAAACAAACACACAGCAGAAAAATAAATTCATGTATACAGACCTGGTTTTCCAGACCACAACAACTGCATTGAAGATGCATAGTTATTATACTCAGAAGTCTTTAGCAAGATAATCTTACAGAGATTCTCCATCATGCTGAGACCCACTTCCAAATCAACACATTTTTCCCTTGTTAGACTCATATGGTGATGTCAGCCCACTACAATCATACTGAGACACTACACTGGGAGTTTTCCAAGCAATATCCAAAGCAAATAATGCAAATACACACAATAACTTGCTGTTAAATTGTGTCTCTGGACTGAGGAAACAGAATATCTAAACCAAAAGAAACCCACTAAACACCTGCTGATGCCCGGGCATAGTTTCCATCCAAATACAGCATCATGTGTGGAACATTTAAAACTCCTGCAAGGGCCAGGAAAAGCTCTGAGATGTTTCTGGGTTTCCTCTGTTACTGTTTGACAGTACTGTTGGAGGACAAAAAGACACAACACAGAGGCAGTGCTGGGAGCTGCACCACTGGCTGCAGGAACAAGGCCGCAGAGGGTGTTACTAAATAAACAGGAGCCCTGGCCTTGCTTTTCAACTTGTTTACTGGTCCACCAGGATTGAAAAAAAATACTAGCTTGGTAAAAAATTACATACAGCTCACTGAAAGCAAGTGTAGCATTTTTAAAGACTGAAAACTGTAGATAAAAAGCAGTTTGGAGGAAAGAATTGCACGTAGGACATCTGGGGATTCCCCTCGGATTCAAACTCCTGAGAATTAAATCTTGAATGCACATTAAAATAAAATGGAGTAAGACAGAAGAGCTGAAAAAAGTTTTAGAGTATTTTAAGTAATATTTCATTTGATCACCAAATATTTTAAATGATCTGTTGTTATACTTCTAGGTATTACCTACCTAGAAGTATTTGTTTCCTGTGCTGGGTAGAAAACCAAACACTCCTCCATCCCAAAGTTAGAGGGTGAGTGGAATTCTCAGCGAGTCCTACCACACACATCAATATACAATTCCCCATCTTTCCTCCCCTCTCAGATTATTAGGGGACTGCCACATCTACCTGAATGTACAAATATATCAACACAAATAATGCAATTATTAATACATAAAGAAAATTTCAGTGGAAGAAGGAGCTGTGTGTAGAATGGAAATGATCTCCCTGGAAAACCTGAGGGATGGATTCCATCATGCTCTGAAGGTGTGCAGGTTCACAAGTGTGCTCTGACAAGAAAGTCAAATAAAACAGATTCTGAGTGACCTTTCAAGTACTCTCTGAAAAGAGAAACTAAATCTTCTGATTTTGTAGGCCCAGCATAAGTTAGACATCCAGGCTTCCACCTCTAAAAGCACCTGCGAGGTGCCCAACAAGTCCAACAGTGATTTTCTGATCTCCATACAGTCTGTATTTGTGGCCTTCCAGTCTGTAAAGGGGGGCTTACAAAGAAAAGGGAGAGCAACTTTTTACACAGACAGAGAGCGATAGGACAAGGGGGAACCATTTTAAATTGAAAGAGGAGAGATTTAGATTAGATATTAGGAAGAAATTCTTCCCTGTGAGGGTGGGGAGGCCCTGGTACAGGTTGCCCAGAGAAGCTGTGGTTGCCCCATCCCTGGAATTGTCCAAGGCCAGGTTGGACAGGGCTTGGAGCAACCTGGGCTAATGGAAGGTGTCCCTGCCCATGGCAGAGGGATCGGAACTGGATTGTCTTTAATATCCCTTCCAACCCAAACTATTTTACAATTCTGCAGTAAGCAATGCTCAGGTTCAGTTACTCACTGCTCTTAAGAGGAAAGTGTACCAGTATCAAAAACTAAAAGTCTATAAAAACTCACACCATTTAAAAAGTGCTCAGATAAGAGAATAAAGTCAGAACTGTGCACAGATTTGTGAATGTCCATGAGCTTAAGGAAGGTGTTTCATTACTTTAAAAGGCATTTGTAAACTGAAACCAGTCTAACACTGCTTATCAATACTCCAGTCAAACAGAAAACACACACACAACTCTGGCCACTGCTGGTTACAAGTTACAGTAAAAGACTCATTCTCAGATTGTCACATTCTGTTTGCAGCAACATGAGTTCAGAAATCCCCAAAGGATGCCTGGGCAGCTGGGAAGGACTTTTTTAAAACAGCAAGAAAACTGGTATTGCAAGCACAAGCAAGTTTGCTGCAATATAATCCAGGCAAGGAGAACTCCTTTCCGACATTAAAAATTGAAATATGCTGAAATTAGAACGGGAAGGACAATGCTGTGTGTCCTGTTCCCACAGAAACCTTCCTCATAATTTTTATATTGTTTCCAGCCTCTATTTAAGAATATGAGGGCAAATAATGCCATTTGAATGCAGGTATGAATCAAGCAGCATGTTTAAACTTTTAACTTGCAGTAGATCAATGGGAACACCACCACCAGAACTAAATTGTATCTCCTCTACTTACCACAGAAAGAGGCAGTAAACAGCAAACTGTCTAAATAAACATTCAAAAATCTCAGACAAGAGAAATACTGATTGGTCCAAACCTTCTAAGAACAGTTGGATCAAATCATACATTCGAAATCTGGCCACTCCCTTTCACTTACTGAAATATTTGTTCTAGGAAAAATAATCCTTCATGTTGGTTTTAGTCTTGACAATTTTGCCATTCATAACACAGTGGTGTTTTAAATAGGTCTTTCCACTAATTCAGATGTTATTTTAAAGGGATATTCTTTAAAAATAATGTATTATAGAGGCTTTACTGTGATTTAATAAATGATAATTCTGGATGCAGTAAGGAACTGAAGATCTCAAGTGGACTTATGTGCCATGCTGTATTAACACAAACAGGTATTATCAGAAGTAGAAAAAACTCGCACCATATTTCATTTTTAGCAACTATGACAGTTGTTGTGCATCATGGAAAATATTTTCCCCTTCCTTAGTTACAGTGAACCACCTGCAATCCCTGTGTTGTTTGCTGGATTTGCTTTTCTTAAAGCAGCGACAGCGCAAATATAAGAACGACAAAGGTGAAAAGAAGCATTAATATTGAATCACTACCATAAATATGGGCATTCTGGATGCCAGTAAATTTTAAAAAGGCAAAACCGCAGAGGACAAAACCTGTCATTCCTTAAAAGCTTATAGATAAGACCAGGTAGTAAATGACACTGGAAGGATAAACTGAATTAGCTAAACTCCAAGTGTGAGTGGTATCCAGCACATGGAATTTAGGGGACATTTTCTCCCTTCCCCCCTGTCCATCTTTTGGAAGCTGCAACTTCAATTTCTGGAGCAGTTCTCAACAAATTCCACTTTCATGGCTTTGTCCCATCACATTTTGAACCAACGCTGACTTTTAGTGCCCAAAGCATCCCATGGCAGGAAGGTCCACGGCTCTGCCAAGAGTCAAGTTGCTTCATAACTCTGACCCTCCTTGTTTCTACAGTCTCTAATTCAAATTTTTGAGCAGGAGGAACTAGAACATACACAATATCCAGGATGAAAGGAGAGCACCATGAATTTATACACCCACACAACACTTTGTTCTCTTACTTTCCTAATCTTTCCTAATATCTTATTTGAGTTTTACAACAAGTGAGCGTTGGGATAATGTCATTTTTCAGATCTGATTATAACACCAAAATCTCTTCATTAGTAGATATTTCAGGCATTACTGCAAACGTAAATCAAGAATTCTTATCTCTTCCCATGCAGAAAACGTCACATGTATCTACACTTAATTCCATCTGCTATTTTAAAGGCCAGTCATTCAGAATCAAGCTGCCTTCCTACAACTCTTCACAGTTAGGTTTTAGGTGTATATACAGGCGCACATACATGCACACATATCTATAAAAATGCACAAACACTCAAGCCTTTCCCTTATAAATTTTGTCACCTTATTTCCTTTTCCATGTGGTTTAAGGCCACACTGAAGAGCAGACTGCACAGATCCCTGTGTAACTGCTTCCCCAGGGATCTCATGGAGGTCTGCAAGAGCCTTCAGTGGAGCACTCTGTCAAATTATCTGAATTTGGAAAAGGTTACCTGTAGCCAGAGTCAGAAAAAAGAGCACAGCTCTTCCTGTTCAAAAGGGAAGTCCCTCTGGTACAGATTTCTCCTAATTTAGAAGTATAGGGTCTCACCTATAATTTCCAGATGCCATTTCTAAGGACAAGACTCATTGATCATAACCCATGTGCTACCCAAGCACTGTTTGTGGGTATGTTAATTCCTGAATTGCCTGGAATCTTCTGGAATTCAAAGCTGGTCCACAGAACTGTGCTTATCAAGGTCTTCTGGTAAGTCCTAATAAAGCCACTAAGACTGGGGAGGGGCTCAAGGAAAGATAAAGGTAAGTTCTAAAATAAACTACTGTACCATGTAAGCTTAGATGGAAGTATGGAACCATACTGGGTGGCTGGACAAAGAGAACAGGAAGAAAACCACCCCACAACAAAGCCCAAATGTTACAGGCAAATGTTATAATACAAATTAACACCAGAAGTCACCTACAGCATCTCCTCCAACCTCCCTCCACACAGACCATCCTTGGGAGGCACAAGGGTTGTGCTGCTCCTCTCCCACCAGGACAGTTCCAGCAGCAGCACAAGCCACACAGTAAAGGAAAAGATTTTTCCCTCATGCACTGAATTCTAAAAAAGTTTAGTTCAGGGCTTCTCCCATCACATTTTGCTGTAGGGGTGTGAAATTACAGACCCGGGTTGTTGCGCAGCCTCGTACAACCAACCCCTCGCTGCTGCAGGAAGCCATCACGGGATAACTGGAAGGCTCCAGCCCATCCCTCTGCAGCCATGAGTGAGCTAATTACCGCTGGGTTTTTCCTAATTAAATGAATGCAATATCCAGTTCTCCCAAATAATATAAGCCGGGTAATGAAGAGATTTTCCGCTTACAGATGAACTCGCTAAATGCAATAAACCGAACATCTGGGTCGGACGAGCTCTCTGCTAAGAAGTTTGTTTATAACACAGGA